TCAAAGTGCTGACTGACTGAATTACTCGATATGCTTTCATCCTGCTACGAAAGTTTTTGCTTTTCAAAAACTTTAATATCGAAATCGCACGAAAGCTTACCGGTGGAACATATACTCACCGGTATAGTAACCGCAAAGATCAGTCGTGAACTGAAAAACGAACAGCTGGCGAGGCTATGGCAGTCGAAGTTCACAAACTTCTTACGCTTTCTCGTATTGATTTCTTAAGAGAATGCGCAAATTTTTTTGAGTGCCCGTCTGCTCTCTGAACGGATGGTTGCGACTATTGGGCATGAAGAACAATGTCCCAAGAACGAAATACAGAAACAGAAAAAGCTAGAACATCCTCTGCGACGTCAAATGCTCAAAGCAAAGAAATTCAGCGTAACGACACGGCCCGAACTTGCATGCAAAATTTTTCTTCCTCTAAACAGAAAGTTATGCTTGTGATTTGTCAAATTTTGACGTTAAAGCGTGCTTGCTGAAAATTCATTCATTCAAAATTCATTCGGTTTGGTTCATATCTAGGAGAACAGATTCTTGTGTACCAAGAGCAAAAGCCGCTGGTAGTAGAAGAGTACGTCGCTTAACTACTGTCTTCTGCAACTGTCGGTTAACTGCAACACAGACACACGCGAGCACACACAGGCCGTTTTACTCTGGCTGATCATTGCTTTCGCAATCTAACAAATCTTGAAGTAGAAGGCTGCTGTTGCTTTGTCATCGTCACGTTTAGCTACGTTGCAAAACTGCAGGCTGCTTAAGATTCGTGATGTTCGCTCGCCTAAACAATTTTCATTTTGCAATTAGGTGTTCACGCTTGTTGACTGGGTCCTCCAGTTAATACGAAATGGTGAAACTACCGCGGCAAGAATGGGCAACATCTGTGTAACTCTGTTCCATTTGCAGATAATATCGCATTGCTGGCAGGCAACTTCAAAGCTGCGACATCACTGTTACTAACTCTGAAACAGAGGTATTCTGATTTGGGTCTCTCGATTAACTTAAAGTCGAATCAGATGGAAATTGACACCAAAGTTGTGGAAAAGGTGCCAGAACATCTGTATTTTTGGAGTTTGCAAACTGACTGTTGACAGACGAGTAATAAACAAAGTTAAAAGGCGCTGTACGTTGGCATTAGCAGCGAGTAACAAGCTAAGCAAGCACTAGAAGTAACATAAATGTTGGCAATAGCAAAAAGCTGCAAATCTACACTGCCTGCATTCTGAACATCTTGTTTCATAATTTGAAAACGCTACACTTAACAAGGCTGAAAACAGAAAACTGGAAGCGACGGAGATGAAGATTTTAAGATCAATAATACGAGTGAAGTGATGCGACCTGGTGTGAAATGCTGTTTTAAGACAGATTAGAATATCGACCGATTGGT